TCTTTCACTCAATCAACCAAGATAACGATAGTAGATGACTAGATATGATGGTCGAAGAAGTTCAAAGGATTTGCGAAACCGTGGATGTTCGGGTAGTAATTAGTAAGGCACTTGGACAAGGATGTAATCTCAAAGTTTTTAGAAGTTGTTCTAATAGTAGCCTTTTTAATTTGATTATTTCTTTGATGGATATGGATAGCATTGCTATTCCTTCTCATCTTTTTAATTATCATGGTTTTGGTGTGCGCCACTATTGTATATTGATAAATTTTGATATTCAGTAATACTACGTATTTGATAAATGGCACTCAACATTTAGCTCGCAATTTTGGTGATTTGTCTTTTGGATTTAAGGAAATTGATTTTCTTTGAAAGTTTACCTAAATGTGACTAAAAATATTCTAGACTCCTAATATATGACTCACAAATTTAAATATGACAATATTTGCAATAATTGAATTTAAGAGAGAAATTAGTATAATTAAGGTACATACAAAATAATATACCATGCATACCAAATAACATTAATTTAGGAATAAAAAATTATCTAGGTACATTTTTAGGAAAAGTCACATCTTTTAATTATACTTCTAGTAATTTCTCTTTTTTTTTTTTCATTTTTATGGAGTTAGCCAGTGTCGGTCACCATCTTCGTTGCCTGGGGTAGCTTTTTTCAGAAGGAGAAACACCGATAAAATAAAAATGATCAGTACAAAAGCAATTAAGATAATCTAAGATTACTATGTGATAAGATATAGAACTAAAAAGTTTCAAATGAAGCTCTTGTTACTTAACCAATAATAATCACGACTACAAAAAGTACCAAAACTATTCTACGATAGAAAACAAACATATGAATTGATTTCACCATCCACTAACAAGGAAATAATAGAAAATTCGATTTGTCCAACCACCATAAAGAAGCAATTAGAATTTTCAATTTGACCGGCTACTGGGAAGAAATTGTAAATATAATCATTTATACTATCCACAGAAAAACATATGTAGTATAATGGAGTTTTGTCTTTCTCTCATAGCATGATAGTTCAAGAGGAAGAGGCGTGGTTTAAGAAATAAAATTTAAATGTCCGATGGCTACCAACAGAGGCGGACCGTAATACAGACCTAGAGGGGCAACCGCCCCCCTAACAAAAAAAATCTAGGGTATATATACGAAAAATAATTCTTGCTAGCTAATGATCAAGGTATGTATGTATGTGTTGGCAACCCTATCCAAAACAAAAATCTAATTAATGAATGGGTCGTGTTTTCGCGCATGTGCTTGTTTTATTCGTCCCAATGTCCCATGTATAGCAAATACCGAAAGATCTTATATTCTTCGTCTACCATAAAAGACATTTATCTATCTAGAGAGACAAAGAGAGGAGTCTAGGGGCGGCCATATAGATATTTATCGACTAATCACTAACTTAACTCAAGAGCCTTTTTGTTTTAGGCTTTAGCTAGCCATTGAGGGATGATTGATGAGTTTGTTTCAATGATGAGTTAATATCTTTTTTTTTTTAATTTTGAGTCAATTCCCTAAATAGGACTAAAAAGTGGCAAAATTGCACAAATAGGACTACATTTTTTAAATTCCCTTAATAGGACTATTTATGTGTGTTTGGACAAATATACTCTTGTAACTTATGAAATGTTTTAATTAATAATAAAATCATAAAAAAATTAATAAAAATAGAAAAAAATACTAAAAATCGTAAAAAAATAATAGACAATTAATAAAAATATTTTTTAAAAAAATAAAAAAATATTTTTAAAAAAAAAATAGAAATCATAAAATTAAAAAAAAAACATTACCACCCCTGCCACCCCCAGCACCACCAGCTCCCATCACCGGAGAAAAATATGCCAACATTTTAAATAATGCCATAATGATGGCATATTTAATGAAAATGTTGGCATATTGAAGAGTAATTATGCCATCTTTTTGGCATTTTCAGAAAATATGGCATTTTTTACCAAAAGTGGAAGAAATTTCAGCAATCGGAGGTGGTGGTGCTGGGAAGCGACGGGAGGCGGTGGGAAAGGTATCCATAATTTTTTCATTTTTTATGGATTTTTACTATTTTTTATTATTATTTTAAAAAAATTAAAAAAATAAAAAATTAAATTTTTTATTTTATAAATGGTTTATAAATTTTTTACAATTTTTTTTACGTTTTTTAAATATTTTTTACGTTTTTTATGATTTTATTATGAATTAAAGCATTTCTTTATAAATTAATACTCTTAGGGGTATTTAGGGTAGAAAATCAATGTTTAGTCCTATTTAGGGAATTTTAAAAGTAGTAGTTCTATTTATGCTTTTTAGGAACTCATTAGTCCTATTTAGGACAATTTCCGTTTAATTTTTTGTTAAGATAAGAGGAAATTCACTGCTGGAAAGTCTTGCGTGAATCACTTCATTGGTGTGAGATTGCTAATAAGGGCTGTTTGATTTGCTTTTTATATTTTTTATTTTTCAATTTTGATGTTTTGTTGCTGTACCTTAACTCAACTTTTAGATTCATTTTATTAATATTACTCCGTAATAAATTAATATGTCGTTTTGAAATATTTTTAAATCTTCCAACTGCCCTGCAATTATTGTTGTTAGGTTACAAAATACGGAGTACATAACAAATCCAAATAGAGGTGTAAATCAGTCAAGCCGCTCGCAAGCTGCTCGCGAATCGCTCGACTCGAGTTTGGTCATATTCAAGCTCGACTCGAGTAGTTAACAATGCAAGCTTAATTCAAGAGCTTTTGTGTCATATTTTATATATAATAAGTATATATGTAATAATTATATGTATAATAATTATATGTATACACACACACACACCAATATTCCTGTCCGGAAATTCCGGACAGGAATAGCTCTCTCTCTCTCTCTATATATATATATATATATACATACTTTTTAGAATATGTATTCTTATTTGGCTCCTAATTTAGAACCATTTCATTTTCAATATTTATCACGAGGTATATTATAATAGTAATAATTACAAACACAATAACATGTACATAGTATTATTATTATTATAACCATAATTTTTAATAATTATAATATGTACCTGTACTATTTATTGATAGTATAATAAATAATAAAAATGTCAGTAAAGGAGAGATAAATTAAAAATGAAAATGAAAGTACACATATTATATTTTTAGCTTGAGTTTGAATATCTTATTTGAGCCCGAATTAATTTAACCCGTTCAAGCTCGTGATCGAGCTCGTGAATTCTTATCAAGTTCAAGCATATCCATGTTCGGACATGGCTCGGCTCTTTTGCACCCCTAAATCCAACTTTACGTGCAAGAGCGGAGCCAAACTTCACTACAGGGGCCAGAATTACTTTTGCACCCCTAAATATGGAAGTTGAATCATGAAATTTTTGAAACAATATAGTTTATATTAGGGATGATGCATATGATCATCAAAGTTTTGGCCGCGAAACATTGATGAATTCAATTCTATGGATGCAAATTAAAAGAGAACAACTTAGAAAAATTGAGACTGAGATAATTCGTTCAAAATTAAAGATTTTATAATTTGTAGTTAGACCTAAAATAGCCAGGGCCGTAGATGAGAGCGTGCAAAAAGTGCTACCGCACAAGACCTCTCGATTCAAAAGACCCAAAATTTTAAATATAGTCTACATAACACGGAGTATACAAAATCCTTTTTATTTGATTAAAGATTAGTATTTTTTTTAAATACAAACAATAAATACTAATATTTATACGGAATTAAATGCAATGGTTAATTATAAATGTGCAACTTCTTTATTACATAAGGTCTGAATAAGGCCTAGTTATAGTAATTAGCATAAATTGTCAAATTCATCGTACAGTTTGGACGAGCTTGGTTTTAAGGGACGAAGAGAATAGTTTTCTAAGTAATATCCTACTCTATATTTTTTAGTTCAGGTTTGAAATATGATTATATCTCAATGTCACTTCTGATTGTAATTTTTTTTGGGTTATTTTTTAAAGACTGCTTTTTATATTATACTCTGTATTTATTTAATATAAGGTCTATTTTACGTGATTTGCACCGGGTCTCCTAATCTATTGAGCCGACCCTGAAGATAGTCATATTTAATTGTATTCCAAAAGACAATACTACCCCATTTTGCTTGAAAGTCTATTATGAGATTTAATAAGCCTTAATGTGTTCTCTTAGGCATACATTTATAGTGACAAGTTTAATTTTTATGACCTTATGGTGCTACTTTGTAATATGTGAATGACCATTATTAAATTTCCACACACCAAAATTTAGTGCTATTTAATTTAGATATTTGTTGTGGAACACTTTTTAACTAATACCCCGCGATAGAGAGATATGAAGACTTTTTGAGGAATGACAATTTATAAATTATTTGGACCGGGCCTATTGGGACAGTGTCAACCTCCATCAGACCATTTCACCTGATCAGGAAACTCAACATTAAACAATTATTAGTGTCCTATGAAATGAAACACATGTTGTAAAACAAATGTCATTAGAGTTAAAACAAATGTCATTAGAGTTGTAAAACCACCCAAGTTTTCTCCAAACTTTGTTGAATCACATTACAATGGAAGGTGAATTAGAAATAGTAGAATTAGAAATAGTAGACCAGTAATTACTGTGGCACGCTTTATGTGTGTGTTTCGCTATGATTTAAGGTTATGATTTAAGGTCGGGTTGCAAATGCATTAAAAAACACTTCTCAACTTTTGGCTTAAAAACACTTATTTTCTTAGCTTTCGTGTCAAAAGTGCTCTTACTTTTTCTATTACACAAAAAGCACTTATTTTATCAAACACTATCAACTTTTCTTTTCAAAATCACTTTTTTCCTCAAACACTATCAACTTTTATTTAATCACTTTTCTCCATTTCATTAAAAAAACATATTTTTAAAACAGAAGCTGTTGCAAACAAACCCTTAACCAGATCCTTAACCAAATGAATCATATCAAATCATACTAAATAGTACCAAAACCCAATCATATTCAATTTGATTTGACTTTCATAATATTTGTTCTAAAATGTGTTCAACCAAACCAAATCTAAGAAAAATCAAATGAAATCGAAGTTGAACCGGCAATTTTGTTTGGTAATCTGTCTTTCAAACTATTTCAAACCGAACCAAAAATCAATAAAAATCCCCCAAAATATATATGCATATACTTTATTTAGTATAACATGTAGAAATACAACACCACATAATAGTTGTGGCAATTGAAGACTTGAACAACAACAATCCCTGGGCAAAGCAGGGCAACCAAGTCATTTAACCGAAACCCCTCCGGCCGGCCCTCGAATCACACTCACCGGTTCAGTCGTGAGCCCAAACCCAAACGGAAAGAGCGGGTCGTAATGAGGGTCGCCGACGTTCATCGGAAGTTGACCGACGGTCCTGAACCAAGTGCGGGCAAGTTTTCCGGTGAACCCGTAATCACCGAACAGAACATCGGCGACGCCCTGCCCTTCACTTCCCGGCAGCCAAGCAGCAACGAGCGCATCAATGCTCTCCACATACGGCTCCATCACCACCGGCCGGCCGGAGACCACGACCACCACACATTTCACGGCGCCGCAGACGTTATTGATGACGCTGCCGCCGGGTTCGATTATGGTGAGGTTTGTGCTGTCCCCAGCAAATTCTGTGTATGGAGCCTCGCCAACAACGACAATGGCGTACGAGAATTGGTTGGATTCGATGTAATCGGGGTGTGGATTTTCTTGGTAAACAACCTGCGTGGATGGATCAACATTGTTCTTCACAGCTGCTAGAATGGTGGTTCCTGCACAATTACAAAATTTGGGCTCCAGGTAGTAAAAATTTGCACAATTAGACACTAAAATAGGATTCAGTCAATAGCGATTAACGGGTAGCGAATTATGTTAGTGAGTTATCGATAGCGGGTTCAGTCAGCGAGTTTGATTAGAGGAATAAGATGGCGGATTACCAAAATAATGAAAATATGTTTGGTAATTTAGCTGTTTGACCGCAACAATTAGTAGAAGATGTCATAGTTCAAAATATTAAGCCAAAACTCTCCTATTTGCAGCGTTTTAATTAAAAAGTTTCGTCCAAAAACGCTAGAGCCGAACAGTTATTCAACAAACAACATTTTCACTTATTGAAAACGCTAAAAGGGCGTGAAACCGTCAATTCTTTGACATTTTTCAAACACCCCCATTATATTTAGTATACTAGTATACATTAAGAATCTCTAAGAGATCTTTTTCTAATTATAAACATTATTAGGCTTTAAAAATGACTCAATGTAGTAAAAATTATGCACAGTTTTAATTTAGAAACATATCTCAAATATCCTGATCAAATCTTCATTTTTTTTAAAGTTAATCAACAAAGTAGGCCTTATAAATCCAATGAGGAATATTGTAACCACAAAGTCACAAACAGGTTGTCATATTCAAATGAATGAAGAAAAAGTTGAAAAGCATACCAAGGGTAAGATCATTGCCGCGACTGCCCTGCCATTCAATGGTCCAGCCTCCACATTGATAACCCAGATTGTGAGCATGAGTTCCAGCCACAAGGATCCTTGGGACTTTCTTAGGAAGTGGCAGTAATGGCTGATCAGTAGTCTTGCCATTCTTTAGCAGTACAAGGGATTTCCTCACTGCCTCCCTTGCCAGCTCTCTATGTTCCTGTACATAATTGGGTCACTTATGAACTCAAACTGTCAAAAAGCAACTAAGATTTCTCCAACAGGTTCCCCCAAAAGTCTTTTACCCTGCAGTCTGCTCTTTTCTTTGATATTGCTTCACAATTTAATAGTGATGTCAATGCTTTGTAATATACTCTTGCAGCCCATCAAGGGTCTCCTTTACTTTTATTTATATTCCAAAATAAGATATCTGTTTTCTTTTCATAGAAGAGAATTGTGGCATATACAATGTCTCTGATGTGTATGAACTTTACAGCTTCCTCCATCTGAAAATAAACTTCACTATTTCCACTTTTGTCTCTCCCAATATAAATTCATCTTGCATTGTTTTTCGGTTTTTCCTGTGTACAATTTTCAATCAAGACAGCATTCACAATTCGAACTTTCTACTTAAGTCAAAGGAGGAGATAAAAAGGGACAGATAGATTAACACGAGGTCTGAGAAGTCAAAGCGGGTAAAAGAGCCTTTTTAAGGGACGAGGGAGTATAACTTTTTAGCCATTAAATTAAGTGTGACAAAAACTGAATCCAAATGGAACAATTTATACCTGCCTCCCAAGATAAGTTGCCAAGCTGGGATCTGCCATTGGATTCTCAAAGAGACCCATCATAAACTTAATCCTTAATATTCGTCTCACTGCATCATCAATCCTACTCATTGGGATAACCTTGTTCTTCACTAGGGAAGTTAAATCATCAATAAATTCTGCATATTTTGATGGCACCATTACCTGCATTTCACACACATTAAACCCAACAATTCTTAAATTAGCTAAAGAAAAACCACCAAAAACAGGATTTTTTGGTACAGGAGGAAGTAATGTCCTGTCCTATGAAATGCCAAGCAAACTCTATGATTTTGATGAAATTGCCCTTTTAGTAAAGGTGTGGGACCTAGCCTCACTAGAGATGGACTCGGTTCAATCCTAGGTCTAGGGTTTACTTTACCCAGTTACTCCGGTATGAACCAGTTTTAGCCTGTTTAAATTATACTCCCTAAATAAAAAAAGAAGAATAGAATTGGTGTGGACTGAATTCCGTTTTGAACCGGAAACCGCTTTGATTTTCCGAACAAAAAACACCATCCAGTCCTAGACTGTCGACCGGACCACCTTAATCCTCACTAATCCGCTTGAAAGGTGATTCGGGAATTTCCCAAGCCATTCCCTTAACATATTTTCTGTCCCTAGCTAGCTAGCATTAATTGGAACTCACTCACTGACTCACCATGTCAATTCCTGCAAGAACTCCTGCTTTAACAGAGTCAGAATAATTAGCATGAGGGGGACTAGTAATCCTGTCGAGGCCTTCCCAATCTGAAATGACAAACCCCTGAAATGTGCATGGCCAAACAAAACAATTACATAATTTCATATAAATAAATAAAACAACCCTTTCAATGGCTTTATTCATACCTTGAACTTGAGCTTGTTCTTGAGGAATCCAGTTATCATATCGCGGTTAGCATGCATTTTCCTGCCATTCCAGCTCGAGTATGAAACCATAACAGTTGCAACACCCTTCCTGATTGCATCATAGTAAGCTGGCATGTGAATGTTTAGGAGACCATTCATGTCAATTATGGTGTTGTTCTCGTCGATGCCCTTTATTGTACCGCCATCCCCGACAAAATGTTTGGCACATCCTAAAACTTTTGTCCTTAAAAGCACACATCGTGTTGTCAGTTCAGAGATAAAACTCATACAAGCACATTTAGAATTTTCGATGCAGACAACACACTAAAAGTTTTAAATTGAACTAGTTCAACATGAAATATTACAAAAACATCTATTAAGATTTAGGGACTATCCTATTAACATCTATCTCTCTAACATTTTTAAGGATTTGTTGGGAAAAGAGAAATAGCGACGGGCAAGACGGGGGATCCAAACATACTTTCCTGCTGCAACAAATGGAAACCCCAAAGAATTAGGCGGGGGATCTCCTTGTAAACCGGGAATAATCTCAGTCATCATCTGCACAATCTTATGATCTTCGCTATAGCTTTCGTAACAACGACCCCATCTCGGATCTCTACATACCTAGTTAGATAGAGCAAACCAATGCTCAAACATCAAATGCTAATAACAATGATGCACCATATTAAATAAATAAATAAATATCTGTCATAGAAAACTCACTGCAATGCAAGGAGCAAAAGCATAATTAATTCCAGTGGCTCTAACTTCAAGTGCTGTTGCAGCTCCAATCCTTTTCACCAATTCTGGATCCCTATCAACAAACAATAATGTTCAAATTGGTATAAGGCTTTTAGTTGAGGCTGAACACATCATCCGATAACTTTTTTTATGTTTCAACTCAGGGGCATAGGTAGGGAGCACGCTAGGACCAGACCTATCTGAATTTCAGTAAAAACGTTTTTGCATATGTAAAAAATGCAATTTTTTTTTATCTTGGCTAAATCACTAGTTCAAACATTCACGGCTTCACGTCACATAATTTGTTGAGAATCGCATTATATATAAACTTTTCTGCTCCCATTACTATCTTTATTCTACCTATCATGAGGTGTGTATCTTAACTTCATGGAATGGAGGGAAAAGCTAGCTTTCCCAACATTATGTACCTGGTAACGCCAAGCCCAACATTGTGAGGAAAAATGGTAGCCTTGTAAACATTATTGTTGCCGTGAACAGCATCGATTCCATAAATCATTGGAATGGCAAGGCGAGTGGATCGAGAAGCTCTCTGAAACTCATTAACCATGTTGATCCATTGCTGAGCTGATGCCTTAGGTGCTGGCACACTCCCTCCTCCACTCACAAGACTCCCTGCACTCATCATCCATCATATCAAATCCTTCTTCTATCACACACACACATATATATATATATATATATATATATATATATGCAATTTATTATGTTCTATTCAGGGGCGGAGCTAACTAAGGGCGGCCTTACCAGGCCCCAACCCACCACAAATTTGAAGAAAAAAATGTATCTTATATGTAAAAATTTATGTGTAAAAGTTTATCAAAAAAATTCTTTGTACCCGCTCAGTCTAACTTGTGCTCTTCACTATGCCTGTGATTCTATTGACATATAACTCATGTTGAATCATCAAAAATATATATACTCAATTATCATGGCCTGGCAGACCAGTCACTGAAATTGCTATATTTGCTGAACTATTGAAAGATGAACTTAAAACATGTTTTCTTGATGAATATTTCAAAATAATACTCTGCTTTCTACAATAGTTTGCATATTTTCATGAAGAAAGTATAGGTGATAATAGAAAAAGTTTGAAAGAGAAAGAGAACTTGTAGGAAAGGAGAAAGGTAGGAAATAGAGTGTAAAATGTTTTCAAATAAGAAAAAATGTCAAATAATAAAACTTCACTAAAAGGAATATTGTCAAGCATTATAGAAAAGAGGGAGTAACTGAAACAAGCAAGTTCAAATGAAAAATCCTATAAATGGGATGACAACTTTGAGGAAATAATGCAAAATACCTATAAAGAATTGTTTCATAACATGAGAAGTGGCAACTTTCCTCTCAATCTGAGTCATCTGCCCAATCTTCTCCTCAAGGGTCATCCTCTTCATCAAGTCTCCAACTCTTGCTTCCAGAGGCTGCTTGGGGTCCTTGTACTTCATGCTCTCGTAGTTGTACTCTCCCCCCTCTGCTGCACCAAATATGATGAACCCCACCAGCAGCCACAATAATAGTACCATAACAATCTTTGTTTCTGCACATTTCATCACATCCATTTCTCTCTCTCTCATCTCCTCAAGAACCCACAATCAGAACAACATATACTAATATACTATCATGTCCAAGAAAGAATTGTCAATATATATAATAATATATTTTACATAAATGGAATTGATGGAATAATGCTAGAAGAAGCCTTTCAAAAAATGCTAGAAGTTGGAAGAAATGGAAGAAAACGGTCGGGGCATTAACTGTCAGATGAGAAAGAGATGCATTACACATAACCCCGTAAAGGCCTATTTATAGAAGAGATAATGTGTGGTAATTTACTTATTTCCAAGTTGGCCAACATGCACGTATTTTCATTATTTTGAAAATAACCCCGTAAGCCTGCAGCCTCAATTTTTGCAGTTACTTTTTTATTGTTATTGTTGATTTTATATTATTATCCGAATCCTTTAAGTTTATTTTTAAATTTCCACTTTCAATATGATATATTTACACCTAATTTAATACTATCGTACTACGTACGTAGTAGCTTTTCGCATCGACTCAACAATAGATTGGACTTTTTTCGTTTTTTTATTAAATTAAAAACGATTCCCATTTCGCATCGTGCAGTGAATTTAATTTTCTTTTATTTTCTAATTTTATATTGTAGCATCTAGGGGTGGCCGGGTGGGCATAACGGTTTGGTTTAATCGAACCGAACCGAAACCGATAAAAACCGAACAAAACCGAACCAAACTAAAGAAATTCAAAAAACCTTCATATATTACTAAAAATCAATAAATCCAAACCGAATCAAATCGAACTAAATCAAACCGAAAAATAGTATGATTTTTGTTTGAAAATAATTCTTTCAACCCGTTCCAAACCGAACCAAAACCGATAAAAACCGAACCGAAAACCGATATGCCCAGCCCTATACCACCTATCCGAATATTAAACAAAAATAAAGGGTGTTTTGAGATGAGATCATCTCGTTGGTATTTTGGTACAAGTTTTTGATGAGTTAAATAACTAATTTTTGTGGAAAATTGATTTATGTCACTATAGTTTATTTTAAATTCAAATGCTAGTATTATTTTCAAATTTTTTGACTTTGAAAAAGGAAGGAGGGTGCAGATAAATAGTTAAATGAGCAGGTGTGATATATTGTGAAATAGTTATGTATTTACGACTAAAATAAAAAGTGTTTATAAAAGTGTACTCTTAATTGGAGTGTTCAATTTTACACTTCTTTTTTAATGATTTAGTATTGCTATTGGAGCTATTTCAAGGTCTACTTTCAATTTTCCAGGAATTCTGATGTTTGGCCTCTCCTTCTACTTGCTTGGTATTCTAATTCCACTGATTCCAACTTTTACAAATATATTAGGACAGTCCATAACAATGAATCTCACAATTATTGGTTAGTATTTTCTTTGTGATGTATATTTGATTTTAAAATTTCACCCAACTTTCTGTTAAAACCCTAAGATTTTAAGCCTTAGGCTATTATATAATTATATATATGTTGTTTATTGTTCTACTAATTTTATACTATCGTATTTGAATCTATTGATTCTTTAATGACCGCAAACTACCCAACTTTCTTTACTGTTGAGAATGTTAACAAGCAGTATGATGGAATAGTGACGTGAACTGAAGAGTGAAAAATACTTCTTTATTCTTAGTCTCTTAGTTTAGTTAGTAATGTTATTAGTAAGCCGGTCTTTTATTCTTATGAAAAACATCAAACCAAAATATATTTACTTATTTGTTTCTATTGTGGTAATTAATTCCTTATAGATTTCTACTTAATTGAAATCGATGTATATTTGTGAATAAATAAATTTGATGTTGGATTCTTGATAAAACCATCAGTGCTTTCAAGAAAAAAACTTGGTCCTATCTAAGATGTCTACTAAAAAAGCTATCAATTCTTTAGACTGATTTAGTAATGTTATTGAAAGTTCACTTTATTTTGTTATTTCAACCTCTAACGAAATACACTTCTTTGTATAGAGGTTTAGTTTAAAATAAAGGGAGATCATTTCCTTTGCAAGACGCATGTGTGCTATTATGAAACATCATTTTGAACTTTTTGAACTAAATTTAATACCCCTCCGTTCTCTAATACTTGTCCCTCTTTCCATTTTGGATTGTTTTCTAATATCTTTCCCTCTTTTCATTTTTGGAAAGTTTTTTCAATAAATACAACCCACTACAACTTTCACACTACCCCTATTATTTTCCTCTTAAAACTTGTGTCAAACCTATAGGGCCAACTAATGGAGAACGGAGGGAGTATAACTTTCAGATTATTGGCTATAGATTGACAACACTAAAATGTAGGGAGCAAAAATTTAAACATATTACTAAAATGAAGCAGGTTGAATGAAAGGTAATTATTTTATGAAGTAGGAGTTTAGCATTGTTACGTTATTGACAAACCCTTGGGATATGTTTCATGCCACACCTGGTTTTTATAATTTTTACTGTTACAGATGTCTTACTCATGAGGGTATTATCGGAACTTTTCCCTTTTGAAAAGCAGGCTGCTCTTTAGAAATAATTAACGAAAGATATCCAAAAATCTTGTTAGTGTGATTTTTTTTATATAAAAACGTTATTTGAAAATTACTTAGACTTGTAGGCTTGTATTTAGAAAAATGGGCGTCATTGATTTCTTTAGGAATAGGGACCATTGGAGTGTGTCCAACAGACTTATGACATGTTTACTTCACGGGTTACTAAACGGTGCTTACTAAGACATGCGTTAATAAACGACGCATAAAATAAGCAACGTTGTAAGATCGTGTTTACTTCAAAAGGTTTAAAACATCGTTTAGCATTAAAATGTCCAAAATAACCATATACATATATACACACAAACATTCATGAACACAAGTATTATGTGTACCCATACCCCCAACCCCTTACCCCCACCCTACCCTTACCCCGACCTCACCCTATACCCGCCTAGGCCCTTACCACCCTACCCCTACCCCCTACCACATCAGCCCCACCCCAACCCCACCCTAACCTACCATACTCCTACCCTACCCTACTCCTACCCTACCCTACCTTACCTTGACCCCATCACTACCCCGTCCTCGACCCCACCCCCTAACCCTAGGCCCTTACCACCCCACTTACCCCCTAACCCCCTACCACACACCCTATCCTACCCTACTCCCAGACCCTACCATACCCCAACCCCAGGCCCCCACCCTAACCCCTACCTTATCCCAACCCCGACCCGACCTACCCACAATCCCCACCCTTACCCCTAACCACAACCCAACCCCACTTAATACACCACTTGCCCCTACCTCGGCCCCACCCTGATCTCAACCCCACCCCTTACCACCCTACCCCAACCCCCTACCACCCCTACCAGATGACCCTACCTTGGCTCCACCCAAATCCTGGCCCACCCATCCTACCCCACATAGGGTGGGTCAGAGGTGGGACCGACGTGGTAAGGGGTTGGGGTAGGGTGGGGGGTAAAGGGTAACGGGTAGGGTAGGGTCGGGGTGGTGCCAATGTGGTAGTGGTAGGGTGTTAGGGTAGAGTGGTAAAGGGCATAGGGGGTAGGGTAGGGTGTGGGGTCGGGGTAAAGGATAGGACAGGGTGGGGTCGGGGGTGGTAAGGGCCTGAGGTAGTGGTAGGGTGGGGTCAGGATTAGGGCCAATGTGGTAGGGGTGTAAGGGGCCCAGGGGTGGGGTGGGGTCGGGTGGGTAGGGTAGGGGTAGGGGTGGGGTTCAGGTAAGGTAGGTGTTGGGGTAGGGTGGGGCCGATGTGTAAGGGGTTGGGGTTGGGGTAGGAGGGCCCTAGGGGTTCAGGGTGGGGCCGATGTGGTAGGGTTGGGGTAGGTGGTAAGGGCCTAGGGTTTTGGGGTGGGGTAGGGTAGGGGTGGGTAAGGGGTCGGGTGGGGTCGGGTAGGTAGGGTAGGGGGTTAGGGTGGGGGTAAGGGTAGGAGTAGGGTAAGATAGGATGTGGTGGGGTCTGGTAGGGCCAATGTGGTGGGGGTTAGGGGGTTGGGGTAAGGTGGGGTTGGGGCGGGGTGAGGTAGGGGTAGGGGTAGGATCGGGTGGGGCCGAGGTAGGGGTAGGGTATGGATCGAGGCGGGGCCGAGGGGATGGTGGGGTAGGTTCGTTGTAGGGAAAAGGGTTACGCAGGGTGGGGGTGGGGTAATGGTCGAGTAGGGGTAAGGTACAAGGATGGATGGAGGTAGTGGGTAGGGTGGGACCGGGGTCGGGTGGGGTCTGGGTAGTAGGGTAGGGCGGGTAGGGGGTAACAATAAGGGTAAGGGCAAGGGCAAGGGGTAAATTCGGAAACTGAAAAAGCTTAAACTGCCGCTTAATTAATACATGAGGGGGTGGTATTCTTAGTAAGCGACACTTTAAGCACCTATTTCGGTTAGTAAGCTGCTTGTTAAGCAGCGTGCGTGTTTATTTCACCTGTCTTACTAACCTAACTGTGACTTTAACAGCGAATTAAACGCCTCCATAGAGTTGGGGACATAGCACATAATCTCAAGGACGGCATTAAAATGTCCTCCTTGACAGTCTTGCAGCAATGTTGAGGAAAAAAATATGCATCAAAACTATCACTACCAAATGCGCTATCTTTGTTGATAAGCAATAATACAAGAGTGATTATCCTCCTGTACCTAAGACCAAATGGAGTGGTGAGGTATTAGGAGTCCAAAATGTTTAAATGGCATTTTTGGACTCCTAATTTCATACATTGGTTGAGTGTAGAGGGTATTAAAAATGGGTTTGGGGAGGGAAGGGGTTAAATTTGGAGGAGTTTTGGACACCCAAAAAGAAAATGAAAAAAAGAAAAAGAAAAAGGGGAGTGGGAGCATACCTGCTGTGCACAGGCGGGGAGCAGAGGCCTGGGAGCCGATTTAATTGCCCTCGCTGACGTCACGTTGATGTCAGCACGAGGTCAGCATGCACAAGCAACGACTGTTTTTTTTTTAAAAAACTTTTGATAGATCCAACGGCTGTGATGATCTTTGCACTGTTTGAATGGGGAAAAAATGATCCAACGGCTGAAATTTAAATCCAACGGTTGAAATAATTTATTTTATTTTTCAATTATTTTTAATTAATATTTTGCTCGAAAATACTATATAAACACCTCATTCCTTCTCATTTTAATCACACATCTCTCACCTCTCTCATTCTTCATCATATTTTTTCACTATATTTTTGTTATGTCTTCCTCAAGAAGGAGTGTTAATTGAAGTGCTAAAGAGGATGTTGTTCTATGGAACACCTGGGTCACC